CTGTTAACATGGAAGTTTGCAGGTTTGAGTTTACCTGGAAGCACCTCAGAAGAAAGGCCTGGAAATCTACTCCCAAAGTCAGCCGCTGAACGCTGTCTAGAGCACAGTTCTACTTGGTCACACAGGGAGTCACCGTGTGTCAGAACGGGCTCAACAGTAACTGGTTCTTCCAACTGTAGTGTTTCATTAACTTGGAATTTTTACATCTTTTCCTTGGACACTGCACAGTCTAGGACCTTTCACCCAGTAGGAGCTGAGAATCTGTAAATGGTTTTTCAGATTACTGATTGTCAGTGAGGTCACTGAGATGTCCCAAGGGAAGGGACAGTGACTTTCAGGCTAGCAAAGATCCAGGCTCACCTGGGCAAGACCATCACAGAGGCCAGGGCCAAATAACCTCTTCACTCGCAACAATCCCCACAGAACCTGACCCACGCAGTGCTCTATTCAGCATTCAGAACCTAGATGCTTGAAACATGATTTTGACAACAGCAACCAAGAATTGTGTCCTCTAACATGGCCAGTGTTAGGACAGCTTGCACTGTGTATGACAAGGAAATGCAGAAGCATGAGGCTGCTCAGTGGACAAGGTCTTGCTTATAAAGGATTTTAATATTTCCTACATTTTCAGCTTTTTACCCCCTACTATGAGGCGGATTGATTCAGTGACTGGGGTAATTGGGATGGGTGTGTCAGAAGCAGTGCGATTGGCACAGGATAGAGAAGGGTTTAGGGCTGTTGTACATAGGGTTGCTATGAGTCGCAAGCAACTCGACAGCACATAACAACAACAATAACAAATCGTTTATTTACAGAATTTGAATACGAATTTGAGCAAATTCTTATCATTTCCCTTACACCCCCCATTAAATTGGGGAGCTTTAAACTAAGGTTGAGGGTACTCCAGTAGTCAGTAGGGAGCGGTGCTACTAATCCAAAGATGACATCTCTGGCAGTTCCAATCCACTGGGTGCTCTTTAGGAGAAATATAGGTAGTCTCCTCCCATGAGATTTATGGCCTGTGAAACCCACTGGAGGGTCAGCTAGTTATGAGCTGGTTTCTGCATTATGGCAATGTATGAGAGAGAACTAATATTAATTTTAAGTAACTTAAAGGGATAGTGTCAGGATATGACAGGCTGGGTATCTCTGCCTTTTAAGGGAAAGAAGTTAATTACAACCACAACAGTAATTATAATACCTTTAAAAAAAAACAAACACACATACACACACACACAACAACTATGAGCTCTGTTGAGAAGCCGCTTTTTGGAAAGACTTCACCCAGAACCCAGTGGTCCCTCCAGTTCATAGGGTTCACAAACATAGTAGCTATAAGTCCCTTCTTATTCCTCATTGACTTCACTCTCTAGAATGCTATTGCTGAATAGTAAACTATGTTTTAGAAATAATTTGAAACCACAAAATGTGAAATGACACATTAAGCACATTACAAAACCCCCAAGCACAATCTTAGCAGTAACCAGAGAAATAGTCTTTTAAACAATGAGAAATAATAAAAAGACCCACGTCAGTAGTTCAGAACCATCAGTGATTTTCATAGTCTGCTTCCATAGACTTTCACATCCTTGCAGACCCTTGGAGGTAGTTCGATGGCAGTGGAAGCAGAAAGAGAATGGATGATAGTAACCAAAATTGAGAAATGTCCAGTAAAGACAAGCTGTCCTCTATGTGGTAGGTGGGAATGCAGATGGAAATGGTTTATCTAGGGTCAGGTTTGCACACAATATGGATACAAACAAGTAATGATTGATTTGTCCCTTTTCTAATAATTTTCTCTAAATGATCAAAGACATACATAAATACACATTTGTAAATCATTACTGTTCGTTGCTGTCGAGTTGATTCTGGCATATGGCAAATGACAGCCCTGCCCCCTCTAGGCAAGGTAGGGTAACTCCATAGGGTTTTCAAGGCTGTGAGATTTTGGAAGCAGATTGCCAGGCTTTACTTCTGAGGCACCTCTGGGTGGACTTGAACCACCTACCTTTCAGCTAGTCCAGTTCTTAAGCAACACTTTGCAAATAGTAGTATTTCTCAAAATGTGCTAGGATAGAATCCATCTAAATGTCAACTAATAATAGGAAAGTTAAATCACATAATCATTGTTAGGTGCCTTCGAGTTGAGTATGACTTATAGCAATTCTATGAACACTGGATCTGAACTCTGTTCTGTCCTGTGTCATCCTCACACTTACTGATTCCTAGAGCCCATTGTGGAAGTCACTGTTCCAATCCACCTGGTTGGGGGTCCTCCTCTCCTTTGCTGACCTTTCACCCTTCCAAGCATCATGCCTTCTCCAAGGATTAGCCCCTCCTAGCAACATGCCCAAAGTATGTGAGACCTTGACATGCAGCACTCCGGCTACACCCTCTCCAAGACATATCTGTTTGTTCCCTTGGTAGTCCACGGGATGGTCAGTGTTCTCCTCCAGCACCACGGCTGAAAAGCATCCGTTCTTCTTTTGTTATCTATATTCATTGTCCAGCTCACAGATGCATAGCAAGTGAATGGAAAGGGCCTTAATCAGACGCACCCTAGTCCTCAAATGGCATAGATTACTTATCCGTTAAATATGCATAGAATATTACCTATCAATTAAATATGCAGAGACTATTGAGGTTTTCCAAGGTTGTAAATCTTGTGTGAATCAAATCACATCATCTTTCTGCTCTGGCGTGGCTGGTGAGTTTGAACCACTGACTTTTCAGTTAGCAGTCAGTTCTTTAACTACTGTGCCATGAGGGCTTCTTTAGTGAAAAACCAAGAACCAAAACCAATTTTATAAGATATAAAGTCTGTATTCTTTTACGTACTAGGTGCGTACACTAGGTGATACATGTCAAAACAACTCTTAAGTAGAAAGCTTACAAGCAATTTTGGTGCTTTTCTGTTTTTGCTAAGTTTTCAAACATGATTATAAATTACTTTTATGATTTAAAAAGTCAATGGTTATTTCAGAGGGTTGAACCATTTGGATTTCCCTAGACCCTGGTCACTCATAGGTAGTAACATAGCTTGACTTTTGTATGTAGTCAAACAGTATTGATCAGATTCTTTCTCTGGTTGCATTAGAGCAGCAATTCTACCAGCTCTATATATGCTCGGATAATCTGGGGAGATTTAGATTATACTTGAGGCCTGACTCCTTACTAGGTTGTCCAAAGAGCTGGGGTTGGCCTGGGTTTAAAAGTGTTCTTAAAAATAATTTATAAAATGCCCATTTGTAAGGTGTACAGCTAGCTATATGGGGACGGGCTGGCATTTGATTCTACCGTTTCCTACCTCAGATAGAGTTCTGCTTCAATACAACCACCTCATATTCTTTAGAAAACTCCAAGTTGATTCTGACTGTAGTCAGATTCCAAGTCTCTTAGAATGCTGTTTAAAACTACAGATTCCTAGGGACTAATTAGTCACTTGGTCATTGCTGCCTAGCCAGAACCAACTCATAGCTGACCCTCCAGTGAGGGTTTTTGGAGTTTGTGAATCACACAGGAGGAGCTTGTCCATCTTATACTTTTGGAGCAACTGGTGGGTTTGAACTGCTGCAGAAATGTGACCTCTCAGCTACCAAGGTAGCTTTCTACGGACCATGCCAGACCTTTTCAATTTGCATAGGTTTATATTTGTATCTCTCTTCTGGGAGATTGCTGCCATCAGGGAAAGGTGGGACATGCAGGAGACCAGGACCAACAGTCTTGGCTGCACATTGGAAGTATTTGCGATCTTGAGAAGACGCTGAAGCCTGTCCTCCATTCTTCCTCTCAGCGTTTGATGCACTAGATTAAGATACAGTCTAGGTGTCAGGATTTTAAAATTCCACCAGTTGTTCAAAGTGAAGTCAATGCAGTCAAAGTTGAGAACCACCTATCTTACCTGTTCTCCAGGGGTAATCTCCAACCTAAAGTATCAGAGTTACCAGAGAACTTATTAGAAATAGGAAGTATTGGGTCCCACTCAGACATAAACCCAAGCAAAACCCGTGGGGGTGGAATTTATTCTGGCTCACGTCAACTCCACATGTGTCAGTGTAGAACTGTGCCCTACAGTAGATTTGTAGAAGGTGATCACCAGGCCTTTCTTCCATGACACCTCTTGGAAGACTTGAACCTCCAAGCTTTTGGTTAACAGCTAAATACATTAGCTATTTGCATCATGCAGAGGTTCTCTAAACAGGTCTCTTGAATGAGGAACTGGGTTTCAACCTAGGAATCTAGGTTTTAATAATGCTTGTGGGTGATTTTGAGGTACATTAAAGTTTCAGAACTAATAGGATCAAAGAAGGAGGCCCACTGGCACTGTAGTGAAAAGCTCTCGCTGCTCACTAAAATAGCTGTGGTTTGACCCCACTAGCTAGTCTGTGGGAGAAAGATGCGGCATCTGGCTCCCATGAATATCCAAGTGCAGGGAAGATGAAGGAACTCTGGTGGCCAGGAGATCAGGCGGGGCCGTCTCCTCTGTCCTGTTGGCCACTGCGAGTTTGAATGAATTCTCTGGCAATGTGTGGCCTGTCACAAAGCTGTGTTGTTAAAAGCTGGCTTCCAGACCTTGCTTCCAGAGATTGCTTAGTGGGTCTGCACCGAGCCACAAATCCACACTTAATTGGACCTCCAACAGCCCCAGACCACACCTTGAGAAACCCTCAAGCAGGGCTTGCCCTTGCTCCCTTCGGCATTTTAAAGTTCTAAGGGCCTTGGCATCTCTTGAGCTCAGCCAGCATCCCTGGTGTTCTTGTGGTCAGCTTGCCACTACTGCTTCTAGGCTCTTGATTGCAAAACATGTGGCCATCTTCCAAACTAAACCAAGAGGACATGCTGCCTTTAAAGTTAACAAGTATCGTGGTTGGGATACATTTTTGAGAGAGGTACTGCCCTGAGTCTCACTTGGAATGCTGCTCATGGAAGCTGAGATGGACATGCTTCTTCTAATCTTGCCCTCCCTTTGTGTGATGCTTGTGTCTTCTTTTATTTTGCAGGTTTTATAATCAGCCACCATTGGCATGGTCCTCTCAGCCACACACAGGGAATGACCAAGCCTGTTGGAGAAGAAAGGGACAGGAGTCCAGTGGCTTGTCATATCCGAGGGACCGAGAAGACCTGGAGGTCAGAAGACTGGCCCAAGCCCACAGTCGTCCTGGGCACTGGAGGGAAGGCCCATGGGAAGTCAGTGCAAGGACAGAGAACGTGACCAAGAAGGCAGCTGTGGAAGATGAGCTGAGGATGCCAGGCACTGCCAAGTGGCAGCATGTAAGCCTGGAGAACTGGAGCCAGCCCAGAAAGCTGGGGAGGCAGATGTCCGATGGTGGCGGGGAGAAGTTGTTTCAGGACCCGTACTCGCTTGTGCCAGGAGAGCACGCGCTGAATCCTCAGAACAAAGGGAAATCCCAGTCGTTACCCAGAGTCCTGTTCCCCGAGAGCCTGAGTTGCATGGAAATGCCTGTTTCACTAAATGACGGACACTTGCCAGGTGTCCCTAAGATGCCACTTTACCCTCCAAATTGCACACCAAACCTGGAGTCCACAAGGAGCACTGAGAAGGGGGGCTTGACACCCCCTTTCCCACAGCCCAAGTTTGGGAGACCCTTGAAGCCTCCATCCTACGAGACACACCAGCAGTCCAGGGGAGGGGTGGACGGCTGTGAACACCAGGACAGCCACCCTGCCGATGACCCGTATGCCTCCTACTGGACCAAACCTGGTGACCCCCAGCAGGAGCACTGTGGGTCCGACTCTAGCCTGGAGCCCCCAGTCTATGTACCTCCGCCATCATACCACTCGTCCTCCCCACACATCACAAACCCCTACCTGGAAGACACATCCAGAGCTGCATGTGGGAGTCGCAGCCAGCAGCACCCCCAAGCTGAGAAGGCCAGCACCAGCTGCCAGGGTTCTGCTACGTCCCTGGGGACCGGGGATCGACTCCGTGTGAGCCCAGGCTCTCCTCGTGGACTCCCCCAGGACTCCTGCCCCTCCCCTACTCGTGACAGCTCCGTCCAGTACATCCCCTTTGATGACCCGCACATACGACACATTAAGCTAACACACCCCCAAGGTTACTTCAAGGACCCCAAGCTGTATGATAGACCATACAGCACTGCTGCTCCCCACGAGCCAGCTCCCAGGAAAATGGAGCCAGGGAGTGCCTTTTTGAGCACAACAGCTGTGGCCCCTGCCATTTCTGACCCCAATCCCAGATGGTTGCCCAGCCATCCTCTCAGGGAAGGTGACCCCTGGGGCTCTGCTGACCAAAGAGACAGCCACGCAGAGAGAGGACAGCGACTTAGCACAAAAGGTGCCCAGCGTGGACAGTCAGTCGGCCCCACTCCTTCCCCAAACCCACCAGCCCAGGGTACCTGTGAAACCATCACCCAGCTCAAACAGTTTGAAACTGGGCTCCTGACCAAGAAAAGTTCAAAGAAAAAAAAGAGCGGGACTGTGTTTTGCTTGGTTTCCATCCCAGTAAAACCTGAACCCCATCTGCCAGAGCTTGATAGGAACAACAATGACTTAAAGCAGGGCGCTGATAAAAAGAGCGGGCTTGATAAGAGCCCTGAGCTGCAAGAACAAAGTCTCCTGAGCACGTCTTCCACCGACCTGGAGCTGCAGGCCCTCACAGGAAGCATGGCCTGCGGAGCACAGCCAGGAAAACAAGAGCTGGGGGAAGCCAGAGACAAACAAACAAATGACCTAAGATGCAGTCCCCCTGTGAGACACAGAGGGCTCAAGGGTTCTGGCCCATGGCCAGGGTACCAGCTCAGAGACCAGCAAACGCAAACAAGTTTCAACGAAGAAGCCAAGAGCTCAGAGCTCCCCAGTGGCGTGAAGCCAGGAGGCCCAGAGAACCCAGTGCTGACTCCAGGCTATTACAGCTCTACTGCCTCTGACCAGCCGACGCATACAGCACCAGCTCCCGTGGACCAAAGGCAGAGGCCAAGTGCGCATCACTTAAAAGGCCAGATGTACCTCAACCTCTCAAGCAATAGTGCTTTCTCCAGGACACCCTCAGGCGTCAGTCAGGCCCCCGAGTCCAAAGCGCACCCACCACAGCCCCACCTGGGTGGCCTGGGACACGCAGCCAACCCTGCTCCCAAGGACGAGGTGGTAAAGGGGGAGCCAACCAGCCCGTGCAACACCCAGCAGTTATTTGGCCAGTTTCTTTTGAAACCAGTGGGCCGTCGTCCCTGGGACTTAATAAGCCAGTTGGAAAATTTTAACAAAGAGCTTCAAGAGCAGAAAGACAGTAGTGGTAGTGGCAGTGAAGGCAGTAGTGAGGAGAGAGAAGGTGAGGAACAGGATGACAGTACTGACTCCAGGTGGAAGGGAGCCGGCTTCGGCAGCTCCAGCCTGGTGGTGACAGGCGAGCAGCAGCCGACGATGCCAGTGCTGGAGGAGCCTGGGTTTAGGTCAGGAGGAGTGAATAGTAAGTCTGAGAACTGGAGTGAGGAGCAGAAGGCTGGCCCCCTGCCCCTGGGGTTCCAGCAGGCTGAAGACAGCAGAGGGGACCCGTTCAGGTTGGCAGATGGAAACTGGATCACAGAGAAGAGAAACCAGGAGGTTGGCACCAGGCAAAGCAAGCTAGCAGTCAGCCTAGGCCCTGTGAAAAGAAGGACAGCATTTAAATTAAGTGACACAAAGCCAGCTGCCCCGTTCTCCCCATCCGAACTGAGGGAGCCGTGGGAAAGGCAGATATTCACGGAGGATGCCCCTTCTGTGAAACCGAGGGAAGGGGCTGCACCAGAGGCAGAGAGTGGGGACAATGAGGACATGGGGTTTCTGCTCTCTCTTGCTAACAAAAACCGAGGACTCTCAGCTCCAGACTTACGGTCCATGGGGCTCCCTACGAGACCAGAGCAGGGTACCAATGAGATAGATGGCATTTTAGAGAAAGTGAGTGCTTTAGAAATCCCCCCAAATGAGTCCCTGCAAGAAAGGGCTGAACGGATCCTGGGCATTGAGGTGGCAGTGGAGTCCCTCCTACAGGCCAACAAGAGAGCTGGACACAATCCCCGCCCCGAATCTGGTGAAAGTGCCTTCAGGACGGAGTCGCCCAGGGAAGAACCACTGACCAGCACAGTCCAACGAGATGGCCCTGCTGTGACGAAAGATGCCTTTTATGGCCGGAGGAAGTGTGGCTGGACAGAAAGCCCTCTCTTTGTTGGAGAGAGAGACATCACTAGAAGGACTCCCTGTGACTCTGCCCACTCAGGTATGGACGGGGATAGTACCAATGACACCTCCAGGCCTGAGCCCCCGTCCAGCCCCCAGGTTCCCAGATGCATGGATCATAGGGACTTGGAGACCAAACCAGCCTTCAGGTCCACTTTGTTCCATTTTGTTGAAAGGATCCCAGGCCCAGAAAAGAGGGGCAGAAGCACCTCCAACGTGATTGAAAGTTTACAAGAGAAATTGGCCTCCCCACCACAGAGAGCAGACTCTGACAGACTGATGAGAATGAGAGAGGTGAGCTCTGTGTCCCGGATGAGGCTCCTAATAAGTTCTAGGAGCAGTGAGTCCACAGAGGAGATGGAGGACCCCAAGGTGGAGAGGGGCCAGGGGGAGCAGTCCAGAAGCCACGTTTCTCTGAATGGTGGGGACCTGCCTCACAGAGTGGCCTCCCTCCCCAAGAACATCACCATGCTGGAAGACAGTGGGCATCTGGCAGTGCAGGGTGCATGGAGGAAAGGTGACCAGGACTTCTTTTGCCCAGGTGAGGTGCTGAGTCAGAGCACAGACTTGCAGTGTTTGTTTGCATTCCACAGAGTCCCTGGTGCTACAAATGGTTAGGTGTTCAACTGTTAACCATAAGGACGGAAAGGTTGGAGATTTGAATCCAACCATGAGTACCTTGGAAGAATGACCTGGTAATGATCTACTTCCCCAAAAAATAGCAGATATTGAAAACCCTAGAAAGCGTAGTTCTAGTCCAAGATAACGTGAGACCACCATGAGGCAGAGTCCACCCAACGGTGACCGAGGTTGTTAGGTGACTCTGAGTTAACTACAACTCACAACAAGCTCCTGAATAATATCTCTGAACCTTGCGCTGTCCTGCACCATCTGCACATCCCTGTCATGCTCAAATTGTTGTACTCACAGCATCAGGCCATCTTGTTAAGGGTCTTCCTCTCCTTTGCTGACCCTCCACTTTCCCAGAATGAGGTTTCTTTCCAAGCACAGGCCCTTCCTGACAACATGCCCAGAGTATGTGAGATAACAGTTTCACCATCTGTGCCTCTGATGAGCAACCTTGTTGCCCTTCTGCAACTAAACATTCTGGTTAGTTCTTTTAGTTCTCCACGGGCATTCAGGACTCTTCTCCAACAAGGCTGATGGCTGATGAAAACGTGCCTATAGAGAAAAGATAAAGTTGAATTGTTTTCACCAAAAGAAATCTCATTTTACAAAGAGTTATCCAAAAGCTTCCTTTTCCAATTCAGGTCTTATGTTGTGCTTAAGATGATTATATAATTGTAGAAATTATATCAACTACCTTGAGAAGTTTGAAGCGGTAAACCACTTACGCACTCAACTTTGGGACAGGCACCTTGGTGAATGCTGTCGGAATCCACAGCATTTCTGCCCTATTATACCCTCTAAAATAATGGTTCCGCTCTAGTTCCACTCTGATACATGGACTTGTGATGGTCAGAATCATCTCAAAGGCAACTAGGTGGATTTTGGCAAATTGACTGTAACAATGTACTTGAACACGACAGATGATGAGGACTGCGCAGGGTAGGGCAAGGTTCAGATCTGTTCGTAGGGCCTTTATGAGTTGCACTTGACTTAATAGCACCTAACAACATTTGTTTGTGTTTTTTTTTTAAAGTTGGGGAGCGCTGCAGCCCTCCAAGTTGCATTTTACATCATTGCCTGGACCTCCGTGCCCCCCCCTCTTTTTTTTTCTTTTTCATTTTGCTGTGTAGCCCCTACCAGGCTAGCACCATCTCTACCTCTGTTTCTCTCTTTTTATTTTGGAAACCCAGGGATCAAAAAAATAGATGATAAAGAGCAATTTTTGCTGTTATACCTGAAAGAATCCAGAAATCTGTTGCTAAACAGAAAAGAAAAAGAAAAAAGAAAACACACCTCCTACTCCAACACAGTATTTTTTTCCGAATGTCATGGAGGTGTTAGCCAGTGTCTTTCTGCTGCTTATGCAAAAGGCATTATTGGAATAATATATTTTGTCAGGGTCCTCTCAGATCATCTTCTTGTGACAAATCTGGTATTTGTTGGGGAGGAGAACTCTACGAATGTGAAACCTTTGCCAGTATGGTAGAAAAAGTATTATGTGGGCTATTTTTAGGACTGTTGGCATTTATTGTAAGTATATAGATGATTTATCCCCTCTTCTACCTCCTCAACCCCAACTAGGTGCCCACTTATTTTTTCATTTAAGCTTGGGAGCTTTCTAAAGTGAGTCTCCCCGTCTTCTTAGCACTGAGGTGAACTGTTCAGCATCCCATGTGTCCTTTGTAATTTGGGACTAAAGAGATGCTTACCTATTCGATCTAGAAGGTTAAGCCCTCCCACATCTGAGAATTGTAGAAATTTTAAGAGTAGAAAGAAATCTTACTGTAGTTAAATGCCAGACCCCTTGCTGTCAGCTTAACCCTGACTCACAGTGACACCTTCCCCTCTCCACATCAGGTCCTCAGTCTAGAAGTCTTTCCAGGAGAAACTTCCTCCCATGGAGTGACTGGTGTTTACAAACCAGCAGCTTGTCAGTTAGCATCCTAATGCACAACACACACCACCGCCAGAGCATCTTCATTAAACCCCAGCATGTATTTCATATCTTAGTTTGTGGTCACAGGTTCTAGAAGTATTTTAAAGAATACAATTCTAGTTCAGTCAGATCACTCATTCATTGTCATCAAGTTGCAATGGACTCATAGCTGACCCTCCAGCAGATCATCAAAGACCTTCAATCGCACAGATGGAAGTTACTCCTCTCCCTCCTGAAGAGCAGTTGGTGGATTCGAATCTCTCGGCTTTGGGTTGCCAGTGCACCTCCTCACCCACTAGACCACTAGAACTCCCTAGTTTAATAGTCCCTCACTTAATAGTTTGACCACTTGCCATGTAAACAGGGTTGGATAGATATTTGAAAACATCTGATAATGCAAATTTTTAGGTTAGCCAGCATTAAAGTGGCACCCTCATGGTCATATTTTGGTTACTTTTTTTTAGTCATAGTTACTAACAGAAATTTTAAATTCTTTTTCCCCCCGCTCCTTGTCTGATGGATTTGTTCTTCTGAGCACAGAGGACTACGGTGTTAACCAAATATCTCTGGCATTCTTAAATGGTTAGCAGGGTACTACTTAGAATACATTTTTTACATATTTTATTGCGCAGTTGGCCAGCCATGTATGCACCTGTACCTTTTTCATGGTGGTGACCAGGCCAAAATTGTTCCTTTAGAATGGAGCTCTGGCAGCTTAGAGGCTAGAGAGTAATGTTGCCAACCTGAAGGCAGTCAGTTCAAATCCACCAGCTGCTCTCTGGGAGAAAAGATGAGCAATCTTATCTAAGCAATTTACAGCCTCTAAAACCCCACTAGAGGGCCACCTATGAGTCAATTGGACTCAATGGCACGAAGAGAGAGAGAGTCCTTTAGCGAGAAATGTGAGTCATATGAGGCTATAAAACTTTTCCACTCATTATTTTTACCTTCGAATATAGCCTTGTTGCTATGCTGTTGCTAAACTTTTGAACATTTCTCCCCCTTTTGGTGCACTCTATAACTTTAAACATAGGATCCTCATCTCCATTCCAACCTCTTTCTGCTTCCCTGGCCCATGTGCTTGGGACCAGCTTATTATTCAGGGCCCCCTTAAATTCACGTTTAGTTCTGGAACTATAGAATAAGATTCTAGTGTGTATATATATCCATCACACACAGTTCCAGAACTTTATTATGTGTGCTGTATTAAATATTGTACACATTGTAGTGTACTTAAACATCTCCATTTCACATGGCAAATGGTCATTTCAGCTGACATCATTTTAGCAGTCTTTTTTGGCTCGGCCTGAGACATCATCAACTCGAAGCTAATCCGATCACAGGATCCCATTTTAGCTGCATGGATTCTATCTCTTCAGGAGTGTAGCAACAAGCACTGACTGGCTCAGATGCTGCTAGTCTCATCGGACTCTTGCAGATTTTCTGAAGAGCTGGAGGTGAACAAGGAGACCACCTGCTTCAGATTTCAAGTAGGGTAAAGCTGGGAGGCCTGAGAGTGCCAGACATTGCTATTTTACCACTTTTTGTGGCGTTTTAATGGGACCACTAGAAAAATTGATATTACATCTGTGCCTTGCCTTGTATTTGTTTTGGACCTAGTGCTCCCTGATCTGAAGAAGTGGCCCTTTCATTGTTCTATGGAATTCTTGCCCTTAACTTTACCCATGGGCATGGGTACAGAATGAATGTATGATGGATGTATCCCCTGGGTCCCCAGAACTGAGGTGAATTCTTCAGTGTTCCAAGCTATTATAGTTTTATAATTATAAACTTCTTACAGGCCTCCAAACTAGCCAGATGTTTGACTTTTTCACATAGTCAATCCATTTAGGGACTGGCTTGCCCTGTTCTCAGCAGAGAAAAAGACATCTTTACCTGTGGGAGATCAATCACAGAATCAACACAGCATGAGGCTGAGTTCCCACAGATGCTAGCACTGTCCTCTGCTGTTAAGAAGTGCTGTTAAGTACAAAGTGTCAGGAGAAGGCCAATACCCTCAACTGTCCTCTTAGTCATGGCAGAAATATACTGCAGATGAATTGGAAAAGTGTGAAGAGGGCCTGGTTAAACCTATTTGCTGCTGGATAAACTGGAATTTCATTGATCCTCATAATGCATGCTTGTCCCAATGGACTAGAAGGTCTTGCTTTATAATTACTCTTCTATCACAACAGTATCTCTTGATAACTTCTGGGCAAATCACAGCCCCAGAAAAGCAGTGGAGGTTCAGCTAAGAGTCAGTTCCAGCTTGACAGCAGCAAGTATAGTTAAGAGTTTCTGCTGCAAGTTCCATCATCGCCACTGTGTACCCTCTTAACATGGCCATAACTTGGGAGGGCCTCAGGATTGCCTGCATTGCAGAGGTGGGAGTTTGGACCTTGCCAGTCTCAGTAGCACCCAACTGCAGCAAGAATGAATGGGAGTGCGGGATTCTTTTTGGTATAGTGTGCCATTCTGGAAATTCAGGCCATCTGGGCACACTGTGGCAATTCCCAGAAAGGACAGAGAACAGCTCAATGTATTGACCCAGTCTCCTACACACATGTGTATGTGTGTGAGTGTATGTATGTGTGTGCATATGCCAAGCAGTCAGGATTTCAGGGTCCCTTCCTTATAGGGAACAGTACTGAATCACAAAGGTAGGCCTTCTGATGGCAGCTTTCTATCAGTTAGAACTTTAATTTACCAAAAGGAAAAAAGTTGTGGATTTAAAAATCCTCCTCAGCATTAGCTCAGCATATTACTACCAATTTATTCACATTGGATTTAGAGTTACTTGTTCTTGTTGTTATGTGCTGTCGAGTCGCCTGTGACTCATAGCCACCACCCTATGTACAATAGCTGCCCTGTCCTGAGCCAGTCTCATTGAGTCTTGACACTCCTAACCCCATTTTCCCAGTTATTGTATCGTCCATCTCATCCAGGGTCTTCCTCTCCTGTGCCTTCCCTCCACCCTTCTGAGTGTAATGTCTTTCTCCAAGGACTGATCCTTCCTCACCATGTATCCAAAGTATGTGAGACAGAGATTCAAAATCCTAGCCTCCAAGGAAAAACTTGGTTTCACCTTCTCCAAGACAGACTTACTTGTTTTCTTGGTGGTCCATGGTATGCTCACAACTCTTCTGTAGCACCACAACTCAAAAACATCAATTCTTCTGTCATCCTTAGTCATTTTCCAGCTCTCTGATGCATAACAAGTAATTGTGAAGACCATGGCCTGGATCAGGCACATGTTAGTCTTTAGACTGAAATTGTTGCTCTTCCATACTCTGGAGAGGTCCTCGACAGCAGATTTTCCCAGTGCAATATGAGTTACTTATATAGTTTAGTAATTTAGAGTTACTTATATTCCATTCGCATTTCACCATCCATGTTTGACTTATGATCATAGAGAATCAGACCAGTTGCCCAACTTGTAGTGACCCCACGTGTCACAGTAGAATGGAACGCCATAGGGGTTTTCAGTGGCTGATTTGGGGGAAGTAGGTTGCCATATCTTTCGTCAGAGACACCTCTGGGGGTCTTGAACTTCCAACCTTTTGGTTAACAGTTAAGCATATTTGAATCATCTAAAGTTCCAAACACAACCCTCTAGAGCAGTATTTCAGCAGTTGTATTTTACTCCTTATGTGAAAACAAGACTTTGATGTGCCTTAGGAGTAGCTTTTACACACTTATGGATCTTGGAACATCATTCTTTATGGTCTGAGGACTAAGCATAGAGTGGGCCAGTTGAATATACCACTAATTCTCTCTCTCTTTTCTTTTTACAGATTCATATGATCCTAGCAGAGTGGAAAGGGTTTGAGGAGATGAAGTTTGGGACCACATCAGTGTGCTGAGTCTTCTCTTATTTGAGTCTTACCTGCACAGCTGGCCCACTTGCAAGCTAGAAATGACGGCTGTCAGGGTTGGTGCATCCTTCACCACTGCCACTAGGACTTTAGTCATTCCTACAGAATTGCTTGCTGGAGATAACGGAATAGTCCATGGAAACCATCTGTTCTGACACCATAAAGACTGCATCCTTGCATTTCGATAAGAGTTTTCAGACTCCTTAATGATGGGCTTGGCCAAGTTGGTATATGGTTTGGGATACATTTGATAATATGGTTTGGTGAAAATGTTTTGTGTGAACATTTGGACAGGGGTGATCCAGTAAAATGATTTTGAAAGGATCTTGAATGTTATAAGTTCCCATTCCTTATCTCCACTCACTTTAAAAGAGTCAGGGGTTCCACAGTCTTTGCCTGGGATTTCAGCACTTTGAGCTTAGGGTAAATATGGAATGAATATGTATGATATATTTCTAATCAGTTTGGCCTTCTGCTGCTGGGAGTAACTTTCTCTATGAGTAACTTGCCATCAGAGAGTAAAAGCAATATCTTTTAAGTTCCTAAAAGGTTAAAGTTTGTACTATAATGTACCAAGAGTATTATTTATCTGGCAACGGAGTACTTTGATCATTTGCAAACATGCCATTGTCTGCTTTGCACTCAGTATTATCTATTTTTATTTTCCGTATGGATGTTTAGAAATTCTTTATATGAAAAAAAATAATTGCTGGTTTAAAAAATAGACCATTTTAACAAAGTAACTATATTTCTTTTTACAAAAAAAATATGCTATTTTTCTATGATGTGAACAATTGTTAGGTGGCAGATTTTTAAGGAAGTGTTATTTTATTTAAAAGAATTGGTATCCCTCGGTGTGAAAGGAACCCAAAGAGGTTTCTCACTTGCTTTAAAATGTAGACTACGATCCTGACGCACTTACAAAGGCTGCGATTTTTATTTTATTCTAAAAAGGTATTGCAAATATATACATTACAGGGTTAATAAAATAAACTCTCACAAGATTTTTTTTAAAAACAACCAAACAACCAAATGTAGTTGTAAGAGACTATATTTGAAAAGAAGCCTCCCTGAACCAGCCAACATCCTTGCAGTAATTTTTGCTGCCGTATCAACTGTAATTACCAAAACGTGGTTTCAGCCGTGTGCGTCTGTGGGGGTCTGCTGTGTGACTATGCTCTCTTGCCCCCTGCCATGTCCCATACAAGAAATAAGTATTTTTATCTAGAATGCTCCTTAAGTTAGTCTCTGCATATTTTTTTTTTAAAAAAAGTGCTCGGAGACATTTTATGTATGCCTTTACAAAAGTATTATGAGGCCTATGTATTCTACTGTGTTTAATATTGCATTAACCTGCACAAAGTTTATGCATTTATCCCTTCTAAGTAAGGTATTTTTCTTAGCTAACCTTTCATAAGGTGTTGATAAGACCCTTTCCCCCTCCTTTTCCTTATTTTTTTTTTTTTGTGAAACCACCTTATCTAATTTTAGACATTTCAAATTCCTAAGATGTGAACTGTTGGGTGGTCTGTAATTTGGCCCTAAAACAACTCTTGCTGGGCTGCCCTTGCTTGCCTTTATCTGTACCATATGATTTTATTCCACAAGAACATTGTGTATTTGGACCTTAATAAACAAAACAGACGCTATCTAAGTAATTCTGAAAGCAGTCTTTTCAATACCCTTATCTGCAGTCTTCGGTCTTACCCATCACTCAGAGCCACTTCTTTCCAATCTGAGGCTCTTTGGAAAAAGTTAGAGTAGGCTCTGGTCTTCACAACAGCAATAAATGAGCCAAGTCTCTGCTCCAAATGGCTCAAATGGATTTTTCTCAGGACAGATTTAGTAGGTAAGAGGTCACTTTGCTAGAGTTGGTTAATCATTCAAATCTTCTGGGAGAACTTAAGTGAGGGGTGGGCAACCTGAAGGTTGTTTTAGAGTCCACTCTTTCTCTTTAAATACAGATGAAAGAGTGTGTGTGTGTGTGTGTGTGTGTGTGTACGTACATGTGCACTTACATCTAAACACATATGTATGCATATTTACCAATGCAGTAAAACCTGTGGAGGCTAGAACCTGTGTAAGGCAGAAATCTAGATGAGATGAAGTTTTCCTATTTTTCACTAATGAAAAGCAGTGGAAAAGTAGTAAGACTTAAGTACGAAGATTTTAGTAGCAGTCAGGGTAGTAGCACCCTGTCAAAGGCAGAAAACCAGCAACATCACTAAAAACAAGGCACTTGCATTGAGTTCCAGTTCTCACAGGTTTTAAAGTAATATATATGTGTGTGGATATATATAGTTTTGTTATACTTTTTTATCATAAGAAAAATTGATACTTTTTAATCAAAATATTTCCATTTTAATCTTACTCCTCAGAAGAAGAAAATACTACATCTTGTCTTGTTTGGCTGGCAACCAACAAGTTGGTACTTTGAACCCATTAGTCCTTTGCTATGGAGCAGTTCCAACTCTGCCTCACACAGACTTGCCATAAGTCAGAATAAATCTGATAGCAATGTATCTATCTCAAGTGAACCAAAACATGCTCCTCTTTAGATTTGCTTTATCCTCACTTGTTTTAACTTTTTTGAAATCATTTTTTATTTATGTTATTAATTATGTTATTAATATCTATGCTTTTAACCTTAATTCTGTAGAGAACTCCAGTGGCCTACTGGGTAAGGACTTTCTCTGCCAACTTAAAGGTTTAATCCACCAGTTACTCCAAAAGGGAAAGATAGGCAATCTCCCCCTGTGGTGTTTGCAGCCTCTGAAAACCAATTGGAGGATAAGGTGTGAGTTGGCTCCAACTCGATGTCAATGAGTTGTTGAACTTTTAACTACATGTTGTTGTCTTGAGTCGAGCATGACTCATAGCGACCCTTTGAACAAAAGGCCTGAAGCCCCTCTACAACTATCAACATTTATCAAAAATCAGAGATTCTGGAGGCAGGTTGTTTAGGAAGTGGACACCACTCCTGCTTCCTGCATAGCAACCCCATATAATGAATGATTGCCAAATTAAGTTTGTTGTTATGTGCTGTCAAGTCACTTGCAACTCATAGTGAGCCTATATACAACAGCCCTGAACCCTGCTCTGTCTTGTGCCTACTTTATTGTCTCTGACTCACTTACTCCCTTTACCCGAGTCACTGAATCCATCTCATCAAGGGTCTTCTTCTCCTGCACTGTCCCTCCACCCTCCCAAGCATGAAGACCCTCTCCAAGGACTGGTTACTCCTTGCAGCATGCCCAAAGTATGAAGTTCAGAAGCACAAAAATTGACACCGAAAACTCAAACTCAATAGGCAATTGTGTGATTTACAGCCTTGGAAAACCTGCTGGAGATTCAGCTGTGACTCATTTCTGACTCAATGGTACATCACATTAACAGGATTTATAAGAAAATAAACTCAAATAACTTGAAAGATTTTGTTTTAAATGTTCATATTCTAAGATAAATAGTACAGCCTCGAGCACTCGTGGCCTAGTGGCAAGTAGCTGTGCTGCAACCCTGAAAGCACGTGGTTCGAGGCCACCAGCTGCTCTCTGGGAGGAGGATGGGTAATCGCCCATGCAACCCACTGGAGGGTCAGCTGTGGGTCAGTTCTGGCTCAACAGTACACAGCAACAACCACCAGAATAACTTTTCCAGAGGTTTTTAATGAAATACTGTTGATTTGTTATTTCTACTTCTCATACATATACAACCCTCCTTTATTATTTATGGCTGGGAAGTTTTCATATTTGTCACTTCCCTCCTTCTACATATGAGCTTTAAAAGTTTGGGGCTTGTAATATTAAATGTTCTAATGTTAGCCACGTGGACCAAAAAAGTACATGTGAAGTGAAATTGTATCTCTTGATTTACAAAAGGGGAGAAATTATGTTAATATGGCTCTCTCTGCCCTTTAGGAAAAGAAAAAGACAAGTTCTGAATGACTGAAAATCAAATATCAGTTCTATCATTTTCAATTTTATATTTCTCTAAGCCACAGAGTTCGGGGCTCTGACTGTGTATTCTGTAGGGAGTTGCACTGCAAACCTAAGGATTTTACGTCTCTGACTATTCAGATCCACCGCATGGCCTTGTAGGAGAAAGATGGACAGTCTTCCTTCCATTGCACTGTATACCCTCAGAAACCCAACGGAGGTCACTATCAGTCAACTTGGACTCTACAGTAGTGAATGAGGGAAACCCCAGAGAGCCTTCTCCAAAGATGCAACCAGCTCCTGATGGGCCCTTCACCATTCTTTCCCATAATTCAGGCCTCTCAAGATTGCTTTTGGAAAAGTCTGTCTAATTCTGGTTTCCTTGCTTTTAGAATTGCAGATGGAGGTTTTGGTTCATGTGGAAATTCTTAGAGCTTTTCTGTTCCACTGTGCCTGTTGGCAATGGGCTGTCATTCATGGGACGTCAAGTGTTTCCCACTCAAATGATTCTGAAGCAAGGACTGTAATCACTTTTTTTGGCAACAGCAAAGTGAATTTCCTCCCCCTTCCCCACTTTAGGGCTTCTTGTGAGAAAAGAACTGAAGGGCCAATGTTGCAACTTCCACTTCCCACCTCTCAGCCTAAGGGACTGATGGAAGATAATATCAACCCCCCATTTCCTTCTGTGATCCCCTAGAGATTCTGTTTGTGTGTTTTGGCCATTTCTCTGTTTAAAGTGATTAAATAACCCTCAATTAAGTGTCAGAGTAGCTATCTTGGAAAGGGAGAAGTGCAGCAGAATTCCCTCTCTGTAAACATTTGAGGTTAGAGAAACACCCCTGGTTTTTAAGTTCTTGTAAGCAATTACTTTAGTTTTGGGGGGACCATTATCCTGTCAAATCTGTCTGTTCAAAGGAGCTGGAGTCAGAAAGGGAGTGTTTCTTTAAGCAGAGCTTATGGCAGGTCGGGACAGTTTCTGCATTTTCTATTTTGTTTTTAACCACAGATTCTGTGCATCT